TCTTGGCTAGTCTCGTCACATGCTGAGTCAGTATGTGTTTGAGCCTCAAGGACTGCTTGATGAATTTCCGTTCCCTGATGTCAGAGTTTGGTTGAGTAGGGTCCGTATTTTCCGGTATACCTTGCACGATTATATTGCTCCCTCGGAAAAACTTCTCGCGAGATTCTTTGGGGATGTTTCGTATGAGATTGCGCTCAGAATACGGTATGTCAGGCAGTATTCTTACAATCCCATCTGATTTCAGTAAATGACTCGCTAGTAAGACATCCTCTACGTCGGTAGCATTCCTAAGTGTTACACGAAGTAGCCTCAGGTGATTTTGATGCTTAGATTCATTTCCTCGAGTAAACCGTGTGACTGTCACAGGCTCTATTCTTGGAAGTTCAAGTTTCTTGTTTAATTCTCCCCAGAGCATCCTATCACTTTTGTCCTGCAAACTGAGGGGAAGGTCAGGGTTGTCTTTGAAGTTCATAACTATGAGAGTGTCATCACGAACCGTTATTGTCGTCCCAGGTTTTCCGGTGCGTTTAGGTTTAGCACCTTGTTGTTTGGGGGTCGAAGCACGTTTATGAGTCCCTGGCTCTTTGATGACTGGACGGACATTCTTGGGGGTAGACTGTGCGAACAGATCATCAGTTGACTTCCGTCCAACAGCTGGGATGTTCAACTTAGACTGTGACGCCTGGCCCTTTTTAGCTTTTTTGACGTGGGTTCAATCACCTATGGAGTTTTCAGGAACCACTGTCGCGTTCAAGGACCTTGAGCTGTGAGACCCGAGTTTGCTGAGGGAGTCGAGTACCGTCGTCATAATCATGGTGCTGAGTTTCAGCGTGTCATCATCAATGCTGTTGCATGCTCCATCGTCGGTAGACCTGTCGACATCCCTGTTCTCGTTTTCAATGCGCTCTCTTGTTTGTCTATCCACCTTTTGACCGTTTTTTCCCGAGTTTGCCGACAACTTGCTCTGCAGACCTGTCAGTAGGACAATGATATTACTTAGCAAGACTACAGCATCCGTGCTGCACGTAACACATTCCCACTTATGATCCGACTAGCTGAGTCTGTTGTAAGCAGTTGCCGTGTGATCTGTCCACGCTTCGCGGAACCAACCTTTGCAGTTGTCGCAGTGCATGCCAGATGTAACAGCAAAACGGAATCCAGTTCGTTTGCATGAATTTTTCATGACTGTATTGACCTGAACTGTGTTGTAGATGCTAGGAAAAGCCTAAGATCGTGAAAACTACACTAAAAAGCACACTGAAAACGGACAAAAATGGATAAAACGGATGAGATAAACTGAACTAGTCTTTACGTGAAATACTAAAAAACCGAGTAGTAAGCTGAGGCAAAACCACAGTTAACTATTAAGTTGGGTGAAACTGAAAAAAAGTAATCTACCGAACGTATTACTCAGGATAGATTCTTTTGGTCGGAAACGGTACTTGTGTTGCGTAAAAACACAGCACAAGTTTGATGAATGCAAATCACGTTAGGACTAAACTTCCCGTTGGAAGTACGCGGAAGCCAAATGGTTCAAATGGTTGTGGACGGAACAGAAGTAGCTTTCGCTTAACGGGGTTCCGTGTTTAGTAGCTGTGGTTCACCACTACCTGTAGGCATGAACCTAGGTATATTACCGATAAAAGAGGAAAAAGAAATTAGGAAATCATAGTAAGATACTATCCATAGTCCTTAAGAATATGTCAAGTTTTCTCTTAAAGGACTCCTGGGGAGTCGCTTGGACTAGCTCAGCCGGTAGAGAATTCAAGCAGAATAATTCAAACTGTTTTAATGGTTATGGACAGAATCTGCAATATGAATAGAAGAAGCATTTACTTAATGGGTTTCTTATCTAGTAGCAGTGGATCACAGATGCCTCAAATTAGGAACCTAACAATATTTATGGTAAAATGAAAAAAAGTATTTGAAATGCGCCTATGGCGGGCTAGAAAAAGCTGAGATCTGAGTTGCCAGAAAGTCCCTTCGAAAGGGAACTAGCTGATGTGGTTATCATATTTGCCCCGACGCAACATGAGAAGAAGGTAACTAGGTACGACCTGGACTCCAACTCATTCTTACTAGATCTCACCACTTGCAGACTTAAGAATGCTACCCATTATGCAGGAACATAGGCTGCTCATCATCCAACTATGTCATCAGCTGTCGTTTCCAGATGTTTCCAGTTGCTACTCATGCTCTTCATGTCTACTTCCGATTACCAACGCATTGTGTTCTCTGACCTTCCTCTTTTCCGTTCCCCTTCACGATTCCGAGTTAGCGCTTGCTTCGTGATACAGTTTGATGATTTCCTTAATATATGTCCTATCCACTCCCAACGTCTTTTCCTAATTTCCTAATCAGCTCGAAGCTAGTTTGTTCTCTCCCACAGTAAACTGTTGTTGATGGTATTCGACCAACTGATATTGAGTATCTTGTGTAGACAATTGTTTAGAAATAAATGTAATATTTTGATGATGGTTGTAGTAGCTCTCCAAGTTTCATCTAGTTATAGTAGAACTGTCTCGATGGTCATGTTGAAGATTGTGACTTTGATGTTGGTTGACAGTTATTTTGAGTTCCATATGTTGTTCAATTGCATGAGTAGTGTCATTACTTTGTTAAACCTTACCTTTTCGTCTGTATCAAATCCTCCATGTTCATCGATGATGCTGTTTAGGCAGATACGTGGGAGTTTCCATCTCTCCCAGAGTGTCACCATCAAGCGTGATTGGGTTGGTGTTTCCCGTGTTTTATTTGAGGATCTTGGTTTTTCTCTTGCGTGTGTTGAGGCTTACCGACGCAGAGACTGCTGCTACACAGTTTGTTTTGACCTGAATTCGTACTATAGCTAGCGGAAATTTGGAGAACTACTACAACCATCATCAAAAGGGTACCAGTATTTCTAACTAGTTGTAATTAGATGACAAACAATACTACTTATTGAATAAGTTACCCAAAATGGTATCAAAACTGTTTTTCACGATACCATGTCATATCTTTCTTGTCTATAGAGATACATTGCATGTGATGTAGTAGGGAAACCCTGCAAAACAGGTATGGCCAGTAATTATACCTCAAAAATAGCTAGAAAATCGTTATGAAGCGGTTGAGGAACATTTTGTCTACTAGCTAACAATCTCGTAGGTGGTGGGCATTTTGTTGCGTGCCATGCTGTGAGTTTAGTGGTGATATTTGTTCCGATCTCTTCAGCCAATAACACACAATAAATCTTCCTTGGTTAGCGCAAATGACCAATACTTGGAAGGCTGTTAAGTTCAAAACTACTTCTGTTACTTTCTCATGGGAAAATTGTGGAGACTACGCTCAGTCTTTCTAGTCTGGGACGGTTGGCTACTCATCCTTTCGTCTGAGAAGGTTGTTATGACCCACGACGCCTGATATCATTATGGTGCGTATAATTAAATGACTGGTCGTTATTGGCGAGGAATGAAGTCATTAAAAAGGGTTGGATATCATAGATATTCATCCTGCATCTTATTGTCGTAAAAGTCTTAGTTTGAAAGATTTTGTGTGTGTATTTGTTTCGCTTAAGAAATGTCCGTTTAAAACCTATAGTGTTCTAAACCGCTTAGGTGATACATTATGGCAGTGGGCCGTGGTCTTAAGATCTTAAGACTCATTGTCACCTCAAGATCCGTGTGAGACTGGACTATGATCGCGGGCAACTCCTCTCTGATGTACCTAATTACCTTTGTATGCTCAATGTGCATGTAGACACACTTGGCAGCGTTGATAGACATCAATCAGAGTATCTTATTCCACCTAAAGCACACATGCATCTGCACCTCCTCTTATTTCTTGACAGATTATTATATCATCAGCGCATGGCAGAATCGAGGACTCAACTATATTTAGTAGTTAGTTTACGTACAGTACAAAAAGTAAAAGAACTTAGGACGGAGCCATGTGGCACTCCACTAAGTACTGGATTCCAGGACTAGCATTTGGAATTTATTCTAACTTTCTGTTCACAATCTATCAAGGTCTGGTAATTCTTCGATTTTCCAGCCTCAAGAGTAGTCCATCTATCGGCACCTCATCAAATGTTTCCTTGAAATTTGTAGACAACATCCCCTAGTTTTGCATTATCTAGAAACTACATCCATTGCCCACTTGATATATGAGAGTTTGTTGTGCGAGACCATCCTTTCCTGGTGCCATGTTGTTTTCTGTTTAATAAGTTGTTGGTTTCCAGGAATGTCACTGTAGTCCTTTAGTCATTCTTTCCAGGTTTTAACTACAACACTGGTGAGGTTGACAGGTCTGTTGTTTGATGTTAGTTGTCTTGGTCCTGTTTCATGTATAGGTGTGCCAATTGCATCCTTCAAGTCTGTAGGTAACTCAACTTAATGAAGTGACACATTAAATGTTGTAGCCAGCGTGGAGGCAAAATATTATGAAACTTGTCTCAAGATTTTATGTTATAGTTCATCCATTCCTGTTGCTTTTACCGTGTTCAAAGTGCTAATGGCCTTGAGTTTACCGTCACTGAAAATTCCATGTTAAATACATATATCTATTTATTCAGGATGTAACTCTGAGACGTAATCCCTACCTAGTGACAAGAAAAAGAAGTTACAAACATAATCGAATAAGAGCTTATTAGCCTGCATTTCGTTCTTTCAGATTTTCGTTCAAGAAATCTAAACAGCTTCAAACTAGAAGACTAGGTTCTACTTCGTAAACACAGATCTCGAATGGCATTCTTTTTGCTCATTTTATTCGAAGTATAGTTTGTTCTGAAAGTATTCAAGTATTTTGTTTTGTTTGTCTTGTCGATATTTTCCACTTGGCCTTGAAATATGACAAGTTTTTAAAAACTGCAATTAGATTTCAATATCTGTTGTGGACTGAAATATTATTTTGTATTTAGACCTTCTAATACACACGATACCGTTAATTATATTCTTCACTTTGCAAAAGTCATAGTTCCTCATCTTTAATTGAAAATTCAGTAATTGATATTCGTTAGTATTACGAAAAGATTTTCATAATGTAAGATACATTTATTTGACTTACTTTCGAACCCATAAAAGTGCCTTACCTTGGATTATGCCTGAAAGATGTCTTTCAATGACTTGAGTTCACTCAGGAATTTTTTACTTGAACTGTGAATGATAGAACTGGACGCTTCCCCAAAGAAGGGTCGATGGGAGGAGGTGACCAGTTTATTACCTTCTTCCAAGTGCACTATTGGTAACAAACCCTTTGAGATGAATAAAGCCAGTGGAGTGCTTTGCATTGATATTGAAAATTTAGGTTCATTCGGAGGAAACCAACAGTCAAATTATTTTAGTCCGTTACAACCACATTATAGTATAACGTTCAAAGACTATCCTTCCGAATACGGAGCACTACCTCAGGCCGATTGTGCAGCATCAAATGTTGAATTTCTTTCATATCCTCATTCCATGGCCGATTCACAAGGCAATCGTGACGAACTCAGCACTCCAATAACAATAACTGGATTTGATAATTCTTCTGGCATAAGCGCGGATTCCTATGTAAGTTTGTTTTGTTGTAAAATGATATTATAACACACATGTCGATCAGATTCAATTTATTATTAGTAACTAAACTTAAATAGCTTGATTTACATGGACACGGATACTGATGCAAATAATCTATATAAATTCTTGTATTCTTTATTTACTTAAATATTAGGTATTTTTAAAACGTCTTATAGACAAATCTCTATTGATTTCAGTTGTTAACTACCAAATAGAAAAGATAAACCTTTTTCCTCGTTTAACTGCCCACGGTTTCAATTTTTCAATGGTAAAAAACCTTTCCCAAACCAACCTCCGTAACCAAAAGTAGGAAACCACTGGTGCCGTTATGTAAGAACCTTGGGGTGAAAGAATTAAAACGGGAATTAAAACTTCTGGAGAATCGGTACTCATTATTATATTGAGTTCAACTGAGATCTTCAGAGTTTAGCTTAATTGTGTTTCCTCTAAGTTTAGCGCTTAGATTAGACCTTCACATTAATCTTGGTGAAGGTCTACAAGTACTTAGGGCATTCTCAGTGTATAGGTCCGCACGTCATCTATCATTATACCTGTAAGTTCAAAACATTTATGTCACTATATGCTAGAATAATTTTTCTTATTGACGTAAAAAAAGAAACGGTGGTGCAAAACTTTGTTCGTGAACTCAGATATAACTGCGAAAATGTGTTGTGTTTTATTATGGCAGCCATAAATTATTTACCATTTAGCCATTTATACCGCTATAAAGTTCTTATAAGTAACTTAATACTGTTTGGCTAACTGTAGAGAAGTATTATTTGTATCAGTAAATATCTAATTCAAGTGCTGCAACCAAAGTTAAGGCTGCTTAGATAGCTATCACGTGATTTCTATGACCTTTATCGTTTTCCTAACACTGTGTTTTTCCTAAAGCACATTTTTAGTACATATCTTGTGTTTTGAATAGCATCAAAGTCATTTGGTTCTAGTGTCTAGGGTTAGATCTAGGAGTAATATTACTAACGTAACATTAAAAGAACCTAAATTATTTATGTGTTGCTAGTTGAATAAGAATCGTGTCAACTAGTTTACTCTAATCGATTATCTGAGTTTTTTATTACTCAGGAAAATGTGATCACAATATTATGTACATTATCTTGGTGTTACCTTGCCCTCTGATCTCTCTTGGTCTTCCCACGTTTTACTGTTATCTAAGAAGATTTACCGTCTGACTTACTACATAAAGAGATTGCATGCTTTTGGGATTACTCGTCATTTACTCTTACAATTTGTCAATTCTTGCATATTACCTATTATTCTCTACTGTTCTCCATTTTTCTTTCCCGGGCTTTTGAGAAAAGACCTTGCTGTATTGCGGAGAGTGCTGAAGGCAGTTAGCAAGATGTGTGGTGAATATTTTGAGTTCATAATTAATATGGTTGTGGATAGACATCCAAAGTCATGCAAACTCATAGCAGGTGTTATTTTATCAAATACTAACCATCCCCTTTACTCTTATCTTTCTCCTTGTATATCATCTGGTAGAACGAGACGTAATTACACTAAAATCCATGCACGCAAAAAAATAAAAGTTCTATAACACCTTACCTAGCAAATATACGCTGTGACAAACAGGTTGTTAGAGTTAATCTAATCAATAACCTGCATTCTTAACATGTCTCTAATTTGAAAAGCTGTACAGTTTTTCAGATTTCTTTTTTTATACCTTTTTTTCCTTTTTTATCTTTGTCACTGCTTTTTGCGTAAGTAACTTGTTGAAATACCCTGTGCTGAGAATTCTATATTGTACAAAAATATAATATTGAATAAAGCCGTTAATAATATAATATATGATTTTGTGTTTGAAGTTTGTACTGGCTTGACTCAATGATTTTGAGTGATCATCAATAACAACAGTTCAAGACCATTTAGTGTATTCTTTTGACTCTAAGACAATCAAAATTTAATTAAAAGTAGTTTATTATCCACCTCCTAAAATTCGTCAATCTACTAAACAGGACTAAGGTTTCGATTTTGAAGTATAGAGACTTTCGAAAAATTCTATTGATAAATATGTCACAAAGGATATGTTTCCAAATGTTTCTTTACAATCCTAATAGAGTACTTTAATTTAAATGTTTGCATTTGTAATATGTAAATGAAGGACAAACAACACTGCATTATTCATTACCATGGGTCTGGAATTTGTGATTCAACATATTTTATATTTATGAATTAGTAATTATTTGACAAAAGTAGAAAAAGCTTTTTATTTGTTTAAAATAATGATAGACAAACAGTCTCCATCAAGGTAAACTCTTAATATGAAACGTTTTATGATGATACTTATAAACGAATAAAAATATATATAAATTTACATATCACGGGCTATTATTTGTCATAAAGATATTTTGTATTACCACAGTAATTAATGTTGAATAATATTGGCTTAAGCCTGAATCTACGAAATATATTAAATATATCAACTTTTATGATTGTTTAACCTAAGCAATACATTTAATCAAACACATATTATAGAACAAAATTATGCAATTTGAATAGAATTCTTTAGTCAAGTAGAAACGTGTTTATTAAAGTCGGAAAAGCAAAAAAGAACATTTTGAGCATCTTACCTCACAACAGCGTGCAGTGTACAAAACGCAAAGCTCTTAATTTGAAATGTATTTCAAGCAATGTTATGCCTGAATTTTTAACACTTCCTTAAACACGAAGAAGTTTCTGAAGTAAGTTATAGCAATTGTATTCTGACGACTTATAATAAATCTTCAAACGAAAAACAAAGTTTAGCACTGCATTACATTTTTATCAGCCGTAAATTTTTGTCTATTTCGTGGTAATGGTGTTTACATTACGATTACTTTACAACATTTTTCGAACAACACGGTCTAGATTTCGAATCAGTTTGTTTTGAAATCCGAAAGTTATTTGGCAGTTTGATTTAAGTCTAAATTTTCAAGCTTAACCAAATGCGCTACATGAAGGGCTCTAAAAAAATTACACTGGTTTGATTTAATTTGATTCACATTGGTACACGGGTATGGCGCGACAAAACTGCCGACTTCAACGTTAAATCATTATTAAACTCCTTGTGATCTCAACGAATATGCCGGACTCAAAATATGGAGCTTATCCAGACATTCATTTGTCACTGATCTCAGTAATACCAAGTGATGAAAAGACTGCCTGAAATCCACGGGATAATTGTGAACTAGATTTAGATAAGTTAGTCGGCATATCCTAGAATAACTTTTTAGTGACGTATGCTTATTCACCCTTGGTTTTTATTCATATGTTGAGCCTTATATTATCCTATAATTTCCGTTTGAAAAGTACGTTTCTTTGCTTAAAATATTCCTAGACTTCTAAACCATTGCCAGCATTGTCATTTAAAACCATCGGCAAGTAATCTGGCTAATTTCTTCAGGCCATGCTGTGGTTAAATGTGTAAACTCAAACTTTATCAGATCTATATCAGATCGTAGGTCGCCAATGGCTGACAAACACTGATACGTTTTGTTCTGAATAGACAATATATACGTAATTTAAGTCCTTTTATTTTTAAAGACGCGCTAAAAAATACTTTTCCCTTATTGCTTTTTTCTATTTAGGCTATTGAAGCAAAATAAAAAAACGATACCTTGATATCCATAAACGTTGCTATGTTAGTTGATGGTTTTAAAAAAAGTATTTAAGACAAAATAAGACACTTGATACCTGATTTATGTTGTTCACTCTATACCACAAATTATGTCTTGAGTGTTTTAAAACTATATGCTAGAGCATTTAAATGTAACCATAGAAACAATCGTTATAAAGTTTGATGTATTAAGCAATTTTTCACCTTCTGGATTACAGGTAGTTATTTACTTGGACACTAAGACTAGTAAAGATGTTTGCGATAGCCATGTAGATTTTGGTCACAGATATGTTTTTCAGCACCAATATGTATTTTAGAATTCCATATTTTTAATGCTAACTATTTGATGCTGCGATTTACTGAGTGTTATTCTGGATGAGTTTTTATAAGAATACGCTTCCAGTCCCTTGAATTGATCACAGTTTTTCTGGTAAATTACTCAGTGTTATTTGATTCTTAATAAAGAAGTGCATTTACTACTACATATTCTAAGTTTCTCATTTCTTTGTTGTTAGAAGTGGTTGGTATGTCACTTATATTATATTAGGGAGATAGTTATAAGTGTGAAGCTCTCCAGGCGTGAAACATTAAAATTCGTTTATTAATATTTAAAAGATTTGAAGTCGAAGCATTTGGAAGAAATCTTATGTTTATTCTTTGCTAGTGCTGTGTATATCTTACCAGAACAGAATAATTTCATCTTTTGTTCATTGTTATTGTATAATACATTGAATCGTTTTTTTATCAAACTGGTTTAAATATGTGGTCAATAACCATAAGACGTTTAGTAGTATATAAATAAAATCAAAGTATTACTTGATATTATCAACTAACGTGGATATTTAATTAAAGGATAATTTCTGTTGTGAGACAAGAAGTTCGTCACAAAATGTTAGGCTCGATAATAGTCATTAAATAATCGACAAATAGATTTGAAATGAATTTTTTCGAATTTCACATGGGACACTGACAGATATTTAGTGAATCCAATCCAGAGGTCAAACAGTTATTATTGATCATATTTCGTTTGTCCTGCTTTCAATTAACCAAGGTTGGATGCGTAAATTTCTTAAATTCTGAATAAAAATTTTGGAAGTAAGATTGTTGGTGCGGGATTAGAAGATCATGTGTTCAATCTTATGTGGGATTACTGGTGTACGATAGCTAGAACTATCTAACTTAGACTAAGCCTTTATCGATGGCTCCATCATTTTAGATTGTTTCTGAGTGATAATAATTTGTGATTATTAGAGTCGGCTGAATAAATGAAGTGCAAATCTCTGAATTACATGTTAAATTGGAATCAAAGCTTGTAACACAGGATTTGCCTTTTCAGTAACCGACTAATTATGTTTACATAGAATGACAAGGTATT